GCGCTACCAGTCCGTCTATCCGACAAATTGTCTGTGGAGATAGGCCTTACAAGCTTATTTTGTAAATAGTTTTGAATGTTATTTGTTTTTATTCTGTCAATTTTCCACTGTACGAACATTTGTCATCAAATGGCTCTACGTGTTGTTTAAGCGAATGACCTTGAACACACTTTCCGTTGTGTAACCTACATAGCGTGACATAGTGTTGATTGCTAACAAATACATTGCTACATACATATCCCCCGTTCTATTTTCGTTTGTGAATTAACTAACTGAAATCTAAATCGAATATTACCAACATTTATAGACTGTGAGTGGGAATATACCATACCTTACATTGGATTACACTACTGGAGAGTCCGTCAACCTGATTGGGATTACCAAGCATTTATAATTGTGGATTTTCAGTACCAGACCAAAGCTGAACACGCATCAATTTGTGAACTTAAGTAAAGTCCCAAATTTTTATTGTATTTGTAACAAATACTTATATATATATATATATATATATATATATATATATATATATATATATATATATATATATATATATATATATATATATATATATATATTAACGTTACTATTGATCTTTAATAACTTTGTTGATACTTTTTACGTTTTAAACCTAGGCGGTAAATGCATCTTTTCGAAACTCGACCTAGTGCGAGCATATCACCAAATTCCGAAGGCACCGGAAGACATTGAAAAAACAGCCATCATCACACCTTTTGGTTTGTTTGAGTTTCTAAGGATGCCATTCGGACTGAAAAACGCTGCTCATACATTCCAACGCTTCATGGATGACGTTACAAGAGGCCTAGATTTCGTGTTTGCCAACATAAACGATGTTTTGATTCCAAGCTCATCTTTAGAAGAGCACATTCAACATGTCCAGATCCTCTTTGATCGTTTTAAAAAACATGGCGTTGTCATTAATCCTTCGAAATGTATATTCGCAGTCCTAGCCTCGGAGTTTTTGGGGCATTACATCGACTCACAAGGTATCAAACCACTTCAGAAGAAAGTTGAAGCTATCACTAACTACCGCGAACCAACCTCTGTGAAGTCATTACGACGTTTCCTCGGGACGTGTAATTTCTATCGCCGATTCTTACCACGTTGTGCTGAAGTGTTACAGCCATTAACTGATTTGCTGAAAGCCGACTAAAAAGTTACGAAGAAAGAGAAGAATCAAACATTCAACCTACCTCCTGACGTCAAAACGGCATTTGAAAAAGCAAAGTCGATGATAGCTAATACCACCATTCTACAACATCTAAATACTGACCCCACAACCCACTTGATCTTGTGTACGGATGCATCTCAAAAAGCCGTCGGGGCAGTTTTGCAACAACGGGTAAACAAAGTGACTATTCCCACAGCGTTTTTTCCAAAAGACTGTCACCAACTCAGGAACGCTATAGTGCTTTCGGCCGGGAGTTACTAGCCATCTACTTAGCTATCAAACATTTCAACTTATTACAAGGGCGAACTTGCACTATAATGACTGATCATAAGCCTTTGTGTTACTTATTCAACACTTCCTACGACCGGCATTCACCTCGGGAAGCACGACAATTGGATTACATTTCCCAATTTACAACAGATATCCAATATGTCAAAGGACATACCAATGTCGTAGCTGACGCTTTATCACGAAAGGATGTAAATACCCTGGTACGTAAACAAGATATCGATTTGGAAACAATCGCGAAATTGCAAGTAGATGACGCAGAAATAAAAAGCTGCCAAGAGAAGTCTAAATTGATATTCAAACACGTACCTATACCTTTCTCTAACACATCTATCACTTGCGACGTTTCAATGGGTAACAATCGCCCCTTCGTCCCTCTAGCCTGTCGTCGGCACGTATTTCGTTAACTCCATGACCTTTCACATCAAAAAATCAGATCCACAACTAAATTGATTACGGAACGTTTCGTGTGGCCAAAGATCAATTCAGATATAAAACGATGGATGCGAAGCTGCTTACAATGTCAACGCAGCAAAATTCAAAAGCACACAGTCAGTCCCGTTGACAAGTATCCACTGCCAGAAAAACGTTTTCAACATATCCATCTAGACATAGTTGGTCCACTGCCACCATCCAATTCATTCACGCACATCCTCACTGCAGTGGACAGATTCACCAGATGGGCGGTAGCATGCCCTATTGCTGACACTTCCGCAGAAACAGTAGCCGCCGTATTCCTCGACCGTTGGATAGCAAACTAGGGAGTACCTTCCATCGTCACTGCAAACCGTGGTCCCCAGTTTCAGTCTGTCTTATTTCAGGAATTCACTAGACTTCCTCCATTTTGATGTACCGTCCTGCGCCATCAGCGAGCTTTTTAGTTGGCAGTGAAACCTTTTGACCAAGCCATTAGCTGCTGGGTGGTAGGCTGTCGTTTTGATGTGGTTTACCCTGAGAAGTCTAGTGAATAATACCAAGTTGCATCATATGTTCGAATTCTCTTTTAGCCGCTTGCAACCTGTTTGGGGGTAGTCTCCTCGCCCTGGCGTAAATAGGGGGACCGGTGGTAGTGATGTAGTGTTGCCCCTGATGCGGGTTACATTCCTTTTGATAACCTGTTTTCGTGATGCACTCGTATTGTTAGAATGTCGTTGAAAACGTTATTCGCAGGTTTCATTATTCGTACACCATGGATTTCATAGTCGGTGGAAGGTGTACCATCTACTGTAAACATGTATTTACATCAATTAGTCTCTTCTTAGTCATGTCCACTAACAAGAAGTGCTGAGGAAATGGGCTCCGAGGATGGGTTGTTTGACATGCGCAACTATGAAAGCCCATGTGAATAGTCTGCGGGGTCCAATGTCTAATATGAGTGATTGCTCTCCGTACGTTTTGATGATTGATTTGTCAGCCGCTATGAGACAGCTTAGTGCTTGTTGTTTGTTGTCTTTGGGAGAAATGAAGTGGGATAATGCTGATTTCTGCTCCTGTGTCGACTAAAACGTCTGAGCCAGAAATACGATCCCTGACATGAAAGAGGCGGCTAACGTGTTGGCCAGTAACAGACGCCGCCATTACCGTCTGGCTGGTTAGTTTCCCTAATGATCTGGCTTCTTTGTCGCAAAGTTGCACGGCTTAGCGCAACGACGTGCTTTCTCATCATAATTCAAATGATGCCAACAAATGCCAGTTGCCTGCTTGGGTGATCTAAGGCGTTGTCTGGACACTGACCTTTTTCTGGACGTAGATCTAGCAGGTCGAGAATGAATCGTTGCAATAGTCGCCTGAAGTGATGCTAACTGTTGTGTTAACTGTGTTATTTGTTGCTGAATGTTGAGTGCGTGACTCATATCTTCTCTACTGGAGGATTGTATCGCGTTAACTCCGCGACTATCGAGATATATTTCCATCATCTTATCGGCCATATCAGCTAAATCGTCAAGGGTGACAGAGGTTCCTGATATACTGAGGATTTGTCTAACATTATGTGGTAACCTTTGTAACCACATTTATTTAAGTAGTGCCTCGTCTAGTTTATGTAGGCCGGCTAGCTGTCTCATGTGTCGAAGCAACTGTGAGGGTCTCTTATCCCCTAGCTCGCATGAGGTAAGCAGTTGTAGTAAACGTTTTTCGTCTGGGAGCGATGTGCGTTGGATTACTGCCGCTTTTGTCTTGTCATAAGGGTCGGTTTCTGGTACGTTATCGATCAGGTCACCAACTTTCAATGCTACTTCTATAGGTAATGCGCCAATGACGTTAGCATATTTGGTCGCTTGCGAACGTATACCCCTCTCCAAAAATAGTGCTTCTACCTGTGCGAACCAAATTCTGGGGTTGTTAACGCCGTATGTTGGTAGTCTTAACTCAGAAATAGCATTGATTGAGCTTAAAACATTACCTTCTGGCTGTGATGAATTAAGAGGGTTGGTTGGTGGGCTATCTATACCAATAAGTTTACTAGGAGAGTGCATGGTGTGAAAAACAAAATGGACTAGTGTACCAAGTAAAAAAAATATAAACAGTATACGTCTATAATGGATCCACGGCTCACCAAATAATTGTGGTGGACCAGACGATGTATAAACGTAAAAAGTATCAACAAAGTTATTAAAGATCAATAGTAACGTTAATATGTATATATATATATATATATATATATATATATATATATATATATAAGTATTTGTTACAAATACAATAAAAATTTGGGACTTTACTTAAGTTCACAAATTGATGCGTGTTCAGCTTTGGTCTGGTACTGAAAATCCACAATTATAAATGCTTGGTAATCCCAATCAGGTTGACGGACTCTCCAGTAGTGTAATCCAATGTAAGGTATGGTATATTCCCACTCACAGTCTTTAAAGTTGGTGAAGTTTGTCTTACATTGTTCCTACTCGTTCTATTTCTACTCTTTTGTATATGTCTTATACTACTTATTTACATTCAGTAGGCAGTTGTATTACCGAAAATATTCACACTTATGTTGTAACTCAGGTTGTACTGTAACATTCTGAAATGTCCACATATATCTTTAACGTTTATTTTATTTATCATTGTATTTATCAATATAATCACTGTGATTTAATTACTGTAACGGTTATCCACAGTTTTATGCATTTGTTTAAACGCAACAGTTTCCATGTTGTTTGCTCTTGGTTCGAGTTTCGGTTGTTCATAAGCTGTTAATGAATTTAGACACAGCTATCGACTGTCTTTGTAGTATCGTATGTTATAATCGTTCTTTATGTTACTCTCACAGGAAGCCTTTACTATTTTCATTCTTGAATGACGCGTTTAAACGCCTAGACACCTCACAAGTTGAGGTTTGTAACTAAATTTTGTGTATTATTTAATAAGGAACCGCTTCTGTAGACAAATCGTTGTTTTGGAACTTCGATTTTGCGCGTATCTCAATCAGGGTTACTTGGACGCTTCGATAGAATTATTAGTAGGTAATATTCGATTTAGATTTCAGTTAGTTAAATCACAAACGAAAATAGAACGAGGGATATGTATGTAGCAATGTATTTGTTAGCAATCAACACTATGTCACGCTATGTAGGTTACACAACGGAAAGTGTGTTCAAGGTCATTCGCTTAAACAACACGTAGAGCCATTTGATGACAAATGTTCGTACAGTGGAAAATTGACAGAATAAAAACAAATAACATTCAAAACTATTTACAAAACAAGCTTGTAAGGCCTATCTCCACAACGTTTTCACGTTTTGATATGTATCCATCATCACAACGAAACATCTATCTTGTAATTTTTCAGGCAATCAGGTAAATGATACTAACAGTTTGTCAAGCAGTATTGTAAGCATACTGCCAATATCCATATTTTCAAAGACCATTTGACGATGAGCCGTCTCATTACGTTCCAAATATTATCCGTAATAAAACCTACAGCTGTCAATCGTATGGCCACGGTAACTGAAGTCTATGAGCGGCAAATTGCGTATAATTAAAACAATATAGTTGGAAATGGAAAGATGAACGAGACAACGAAAGTCCAAACCCATATATAAGGTAGCAAATAACGTAGCAGCATAAAAATATATTATGAGTGGAAAATCATATCTCGTGAGATTTATAATATCTATATTGTGCTTAAAAACCTCGATTGTTAATCGGTTTGTCAATATATTTATAGCAGCCTACGTGCAATTGAGTCTGTTCACATTTGGTTTGGTTAAGCCCCCTTGCTAGCTTATTCAATGGAAAGTAATTCGTATAATAACAACTTATCTATACCATTGTACCTTTGTTATTGTTACACTTGTATAAGTATGTATGCTTGAGCATTGCTTACTGCCTACCCATATACGCATTCTGATAGTCTTACTATTAGTCGCTTAATTGATTCGGTGATTCATTCATCTCACTATGCGTGTATTCTAATCTTGTTCACTCGCTTGCCTGCTTTGTTTTCGGCACTATCCTTTCATGCTTTCTAAGCGTATCTGTAATTTTCGTGATCTGTGCGTTGTGCAATAATAAACGTAATCAACACTTCGTATTCGCCTTCTGATTAATACGCCAGTGGGGCGTTGCCTAGTGACGGTTATCATGACTGCAGAATAAAAATGACAGAATGCTTCCCAAAGTAGAGCCTTTGACGTTTACATGGCTCATTCGGAGGAATGACTCTATGCACGAACACTGACGTCGTGGGGGCTGTTCTACTCGGCAGTCACTTACTGGAATTGTATGTGGGTGCAAGAATACCGCCTGACATATAGTATTCTAATTTCAATAGCATCAGGAACATCCCTGAGGAATCTCATGAGACGTTTTTTCGTTGTAGTATTATCATTGTACAAAGTGTCCCAGAAAAATACGGAAACTGATCATGCAGACTATGATCTTCTACAGTGGAAATTCATAAAGAAGTGCTTGAGGCTCAAGAATATATTGACTCTACAAGTGGTGTGATTAGCCAGGACGGACAGTGATTGTAGATCCCGGCTCGTGTAGATAACCTTCTCACCCTCTTGTAAGGCGACTACTACTCCGTAACACTTTACTCCAACAGACCTCGGTTACCAACTGGAATCCACATGCATCCGGACAGGCCATATGATGCAAGGATGAAGCACAGAGACAAACTGGAACAACGACAAAACGTAGGGGGACAGGGCTTCCAACTCAGAAAACCCTGTGTATGTAGGTTGCCTGTCCAACCACACAATGCTCATTCAGATAAACAGAACAAGGAAGCTAACGCGTTTCAAATCGAGAGCACTAACTACCTTTATACGAACCCCACGATTGTGCCGAACAAAATGAATGGGTTGCGTGGACTAAGTAATGATAGTAATACTTTTGTAGCGACCGAACAACCAATATTCGGTTGGAACAGCGGACTTACGAACCCAAAATTTATTCCATTAGACCAGACCACGTTCCTCTGTATAGCTCACAACGCGTTTTTGAGATACTCGTATTATATTATATCAAAACACAAACTCTGTGCTCAATATAAACGGTTCTCAAACGGTACAGCCTGTGCTATACAGTCAGAAGTTTCTCTAACGCAAAGGAGTGCGCTGAGAATCAATACAAATATTCCCAACAAGATGGGATCAAATAGCTATCTCCAGGAATACCAGCAATCCTCCCAAGGAGACAGAAGGTTCACAATCACACACCGAACCACGCCGTGACCTTGAGCTTAGTCAAACACAACCTTACTGTCAATGGTCCGGCAACATGCAATAGAAAATTAGGTAACAAAAGATTTGTCTTTAATCAAAATCACATAATTAGGGCCAAGACGAGGAAGACTGAAGAACAAAAGATACGATTAAACGAGATCGGAGCAAAGGTTAAAATACACAACAAGGTGAAGGAACAAATAAATGACAGGATGATTCTCATCGTTTTCTTTCCGTTACAACCTTTGTGGTAGAAACATGGGAATTTTCTTGAATTACTGATGACGAGCCAACAATACCCGGCATGTCTTTGTTTATCAACGACTGCAAAACGGGGAGGGGGCGGAGCAGCCTTATAACTACTATGTTGCCTGGTGGTACACTCAAAAGTTTATCAACCTTGATTATTGTATATGGTGCTTGGTAAGATTGTCTGACACCTCGAAGTAGTCTGTCCCGAAGACGGTGTGGCTGTCCTGAGTGATGAAATTTAGGTGGTAATATGGAAACAAAAAAGTGAAAGAAAAAACCATAAGCGGCGATCACTTGATTGGCAAGTTATTGATGGGCTCCTATTCTGAATCACGAAATACACTACCAAAGTCTGAAAGTAAGACAGAACTCCATCCAACCGTGACTGAGATAAACTTAATGTCATTTAATATTATCTTAAGTAATTTGCTAAAATCAAAGGACCCTAATCACAAAACTAGATGCACTCGTAATTTTAAAAATCTCGGAGAATTTATTCATAGCATTTTGCCAGATAACTACAGAAGAGCTCATGTCAAAAATTGATAAGGATATGTAAGAGGACCGACCACATAGACTCCTTAAGGTAGCACTAAGGTTAGAGAAGCAACATTATCTCCTGTTAGGTAGCGCTAGTAGTTTCAACAATACTAACATACGATTAAGACCTGATATGCCCCTAGAAGATAGAATGAGAAGGAAAGCGGCACTAGCTGAATTAGAAAACCGTCGACAAATTGTTGTGGAAAATCTTCTCCCAGTGGATTTCCGAATGGTCAGATCTTGAAAGCGGAGGCTATCAAGGCCTGTGTGGACGGCTAGTTATTCCTAGGAGTTTTATATACGAATACTCGTAGTTCAAGAAACAAATTCTATGAACTAGGTGAATTAGTGGACAAATTGAGTCCATTCATTGTAGTTGTAAAGGAAACTTGGTTAGTCCACGACTCCAACATTACTCCAGAATTATCCGGATAACACTACCTATGCATAGATGTAGAAAATGAGGTGACATCCTTTTATACATAGCCAATAATATAAACATCGGCTTGCGAATCCCTTGATAGTGGAACTTGTGAAATCATTAACTGTAAGCTCACTATCGGATGTTGTACATTTATACTCGGTGTAATCTATCGCAGCCTCATTTGCTTAGTTGATGATTTTATTTTAGTGCACATTCACCTATGAAGTGCAAATGACAAGTGTTTGATATTAGAAGACTTCAATGAACTTGATATTGGTTGGACTGAGATAACCACGGAAGGATTTATAAATTCATTTGATGGTGGGTTCCTGATAACGGTAATGAAACATACATTAGTACAGCATGTATCCAAACCCACACGTTTTGGTTCAAACCAAGATTCTTCCTAATTATACTTGGTAATCACTCATGCGACTGAGGACATTGCAAATCTAAATATTCTTCCACCGCCAGCGACCACGCTGTTATTTCATTGTCGTTTAGAGCTAGTGACATGATATTTGATCAGGTTAAGCCTCACCCAAATGTATCGAGAGCTAACATATCAGTCATTCAGGAGTGTGCTGCTAAAACATATTGGTCAGCGGATATCAGCTCATCAGTTGAAGAACCATGGTCTAAATTTAAAGGTAAGCTTAGTTCGGTTACGTCCTCGTTTATACCATGCCTAGTATCACGTAGACCGGATAACTGTTTACCATGGATAACTAAACATGTGAAAAGGCTTCTTAGACATGAAAAAGGGTATTGAAATATGCTCATTCATACTGGCTTAGAACAGTACAGTTCCAGTTACTGTAAGATTATGAATACTTGTTAAGCGTTAATAAACAGTCATATGAAAAACACTTGGTTAGGAATTGCAGAAATAGTCCGTACATAGGGAGGCGAACTCAAAGAAAAAAACTGAATCCCATCATTTTTGGTAAAAGAAAATCCGTGTTTTTTCTGGCAAGAGATGATGCCGAGAAAGGTAAAGCTTTTTAGGAATATTTCAGTGAAACGTTTTTTATCAGCAGTGTAGAACAACCAACGATTAATTTTGGTCGGGGCTGCTATTAGACGGATTCTGTAGTTATCCAGAACGTTACTGTCGCAAGACTACTTCAACATCTCAAACCTGATACGTTCAGTGATCCTGACGATACTCATTATGAAATCCAATAGGATGTAATTGCTGAAACTATATCCATACTGTTTGAGATGAATGTGAGGCAGTCCACAATGAAAAGAGACTGGAAAGAGGCAACAAATGCTCAGATGCATAAGGCAGGGAGCACAGACTTAATTAGTAAGAATTGACCACTCAATGCAACCTGCGCAAATATTACAGTAATCAAAAGGATTGTTCGGATGTTTATTATAAACCATATGGAAGGGAAAAAACCTTTGTTCAGGGAACAACATGGTTTTAGGGAAGACTTATCATGCTTGACAAATCTGCTCATTGCAAGAGAAGATTGGGCTGCAGCGAAAGATAGCAATATCCCTGTAGATGTAATTTTCATAGATCCAAGTAAAGTCTTTGGCAAGGCTTCCCATTCGGGTCTTAAATTAAAACTAGAAAGTTTTGGAATCCATTATAAGGTTACAAACTGGATAAGTGGCTTTCTCAGTAATAGGAGACAACGGACACGGGTAAATGGGGCTGTGTCAGTGTGGGAATCTGCAAAAAGCGGAGTTCCCCGATGTAAAATCCTCCGTCCTTTTCTTCTTTACTTTATGTAGATGACTTACCAATTGTAGCAAAGTGATTCGTTCTATTCTTTGAGGATAAAATAAAGATTTGGAGGTCCATACACAGACAGAATGATATTACGGGATGACTTAGATTCAATGATTGAGTGGATGAATAGATGGTCACTAGAAGTTAACTCCAACAAGAG